CAGCAGATGCTTCACAGAGGTTGTGGTGGTGGGGTGGGCCCTGCCCATAAGTAAAGCTGAGCTATTGCTACCTGTTTGTCCCTAACATGAAGGCAGTACAATCAGCTCCTCTAAATAATTCTAGATAGGGGACTCCCTGGTGGCACAAGGGGTTAAGTCTCAGCACTATCAAGCTATCTGCAGCCACTGCAGCATGAGTTCAATGCCCAGTCAGGGAGCTGACCCACAAGGTGCAGCAGACCTCTCCTGTCTTATGCCTGCTACTCCCCTCAGTGGGTGTATTTCAGTCCCTCTGTTCTGCTCCCCACTCTATCTCTGGTGAATCCATTTATCCCCCACACCTCTGGCCTGTACCCCAGCTCTATATGTATAAATGGATAGAGTGGATCTTTTCTAAAAAATTTAAAAAGGAGATTAAAAAAAATAGAGGCCCTACCTGGTGGCGCAGCGGGTTAAAGCACAGCACAAAGAAGCTTAAGCCATTTCTGCATAAGTCCGATCCCCACCTGCCCTGGAGGTGACCACATGGCGCAGCAGACCTCTCCTGACCTGCCTGCTGCTCCCCTCAGCAGTGTACTTCATCAATCTGCCTGTTCTGCTCCCCACTCTGTCTCTGGTGAAGCCTCTCATCCTCCGCATCTCTGGCCTGTACCCCAGTTCTATACGAATAAATAAATAAATTTTAAAAATAAAAAAACATAGAAATGCCTGTGGCAGAGGTTTCTCCTCCTCACCCCCCACCCCCCTAGGACAATGGGGAGCGGGGGAGGGAGAGAGAGGAAAGGTGAAGAGGGCGCACTAGCTTTGTCTTTAGAGCATAGTTTCTGGGAGAGACCTGGTTTTCTTGAAGCACTCCTCTGACCCCAGCATGTCTGGACCCCAGCATGTCCCAAGCCCTGGCCCTTGGGATGTGAGGGTGAGGAGAGGTATGAGCAGGTGGTTCATATACTGAGGGAGGGGCTCTGGAAGCCACCCCAACCCTCATTAGAAAAACTTTCCAAACTCCTGGAAGCTCGAGATCATCCTCCTGCTTGATGGAGTCTTGATGGAGGCAGCATGGACAAGCCAAATGAGACAAGCAACTGGGAAGGCCATCGCTTTCCTTTGCCAGTTCTTACGGTTTATGAGCCACTATTCTGAGTAAAGGCCTCACATCCTCTTTAACAGGCACAGTGTTCACTACAGGGGCCAACAAATGAATACTCTGATCTGGAGATACAGGAGGACAGAGCCACTGCAGGTCAGCCTGGGGACAGGACATGGAAGGAAAGAGCTGAGAGGTAGGAGGGAGGATCCTGGGGGTGGCTTGGACTCGGATGTGTCCCAGCCTCCCACCACCACCACTGCACAGTGGAAAGGTCAGGGCCTGACAGCCCTCAGCTGAGGTTGCTCTGGCCAGGAGAAGGTGGTCAGTTTGCAGTAGGTTGGCTTAAGTTGAAGAGCAGCAGAAGCTCTGTCCAGAGGTGAGAGAGAAGCAGAGTCAGCTGTGTGGAGCTGAGCCCCTGACCTCTGCATAAGGGCCAACTCTACTGTCAGTCTGTTCCAAAATAGAAATGTCCCTCTTAGAAAGAATGATGCAAAACACAACAGAACTTCCTTATGTGACTATCCAAAATTCTGCCATTAGTCATTATTACCTTGGGTTAAACATTGTCCCTCTGAAGTAGACTGTATAATAACCCCCTGGAGACACTCACATCCTAATCCCTGGGGTCCTGTTACCTGACATGGCAGATGGGACTTTGCAGGGGTGATTAAGCCTTCTGAAGGTGAGATTATCTTGAATTGTCTGGATGTGCCCAGTGGAATCACAAAGGTCTTAAGAGGAAACAGAGGGTCACCAGAGAGAGGGCAAGGTGCATGTATCCTGCCAAGGGGCACACAGAATTTCAGCTCTTAGCCTAAAGGATTATGAGACACCCCTTCACCCCTCCCTCCATCAGAGCCTGAAGTCTTCCTTCAACCTGCTGGCACTGGACCTCTAAGGGACTATGGCTGGAGACAGAAAAGGAGACAGAGCATAAAGGGACAGAAATGGGAGCAAAATCCAAGCCGGGACTTGCTCCATTCTGCATCCTTGGGCTTTGGCTCACCGCCTGACCCCTGGCCTGTTCTTCAAGCCTCATCTTGTCTAGACCCTGCCTTCAGGTAACTGAATATATTATCTATTGCTGTTTCAACAGGTCACCAATGCAGTCACCCGACCCTTAGTATTAACAATATTGTCCTCCCAGGTGGCAATTCCTGAAATCTCTGTTCCAGTTACCTTCTTAAACCCTGCTGACCAGAAAGGCTGAGTTGATGGGGGAGTTTGATTATAAATGCTGGAGATTGATTAACCATAACAATGATGATAAGGATGATCAAAGTAAAGGTAGTAGTGACTATAGCACAATTCAGGGTACAGCCATGTAGACAGAAGTAAATAGCTTAGTAGAAATATGCCACAAGCTTCCTGTGCGCTTTCCCATTCCATCTCAATTGGGAAGCTTTTTTAAAAAAAGATCTGTTTTTATTTAGGCATACAAGAGATGGGGTGTAGGCCAGAGGAGTGAGGGTTGAGAGGATTCACCAGAGACAGACTAGGGAGCAGAACAGGCAGATTGAGTGAAATATACTGCTGAGGGGAGCAACGGGAGAGACAGGAGAGGTCTGCTGTGCCATGTGGATCAGCTCCCTGGCCTGGGATTGAACTCATGCTGCAGTGGCTGCAGATTTCTTCATGGTTCTGAGATTTGACCCCTTGTGCCATCAGGGAAGCCCCTCAATTGGGAAGCTTAAGTATTCATATTTTATAGATAAGGACTCAGGCTCAACCTTCAAAACTTTGGAATGGGGCTCACATCAGAGTCCATGCTTTTATCATATAACGATACCTCCCAAAAGTATTTTAAACCAACAATGCACCCATTGATGTCTCTGTTTTAATCGAGCAAGAAAAGTTTAGGGCAGGTGGGAGAAAGCTGTGAGAAGTGGCATCACTTTTGAAGCAAGGTAGGGTCTACAACATGGATAAGGAGCCTGCTAACAATTTGCCTCTATCTGGAGACTTAATGAAGTGGCAGGCCAGAGCCAAATTTTCTTAAGCAGAACATTCACAGCTTTGGCTCTAAGGTTGCATTTTGTACACTGAACTTGCATTTTTCTGTCTTTTCCAAGTATAGTTTTATTTTTGACCAACTTTATACCATCTTGACAATTTTCTCAAATTAATTTGCCTGCAAGTTATTTAAAGCAACTTTTAAGCCCAAAGAATATTTTCAATGTGATTTCAAGTTGGCAGGCATCAAGGCTCAGTGGGATACACTCAGAAGCTGGGTGGGGCTCCAGAGACCTGTGTTTTAGTCCCAGACTTACTGTTCAGTCCTATGTAGGCCTACAGAAGTCCTTACCACACATGTGAGACAAGTGGGAGTTTTTGTTTTGTTTAGTTTAGCTCCAGATCCAACCACATTTACTGTGTGGAGAGGTTTTGATTCTGTGGCAGTGGCTACTGGTCTTTGCACTGGGCCAGCTGGGAAGAGTGAGGCACCAGCTTCTTGGCCTCTGACCTCTGTCCCAGACATGAGTCACAGGCAGCTCTGGCTACTAGGTCCCCTCAATCTGTTTGGCTTGGGGTAACTGAAGGTAAGTCTGGCTTCTGCCGAGCTGCCCACTCCCCAGATTAGGAAAGATTGACATAGGACTATAGATCAGAGGGGCCCTGACCCTGGCTCTAAGGACCACACACACTGGGCATGGACCTGTTACATCAAAGAATCACCAGGCAGCTGCTAATAAAAACAAACAGATATCTGGGGGCTGCCCAGCTGGGCTTTCTGATTCATATTATCCAGGGGTGGGGCATTGGACTCTAACAAATTCCTGGGGGGGATTCTGATGGAGAGCCTCCAGGTCTGGAAATTTCTGACCCAGTCCAGTCTCTCCATTTGGGGAAGCTGAGATTCATAGGGCTGTGAGCCAGGCAACAGCAGAACCAAAATCAGAAATTCGATCTTCTGACCCTTGGTTAGACATTCTTTCCACACTAACACAGGAGCCTTCAGGACCCCAAAGAACCGCCTATCATTTGTTTGTTTTGGTTTTCTTAAAGTTACTAATGCACAGTTTAAAGAGCTACTTTTTTTTTTTTAAAAAGATTTATTTATTTGTGCATACAGAACTGGGGTACAGGCCAGAGGATCAGGGGCGGCGAGGGGCTTCACCAGAGACAGAGTGGGGAGCAGAACAGGCAGATCGACGAAGTACACTGCCGAGGGGAGCAGCGGGCGGGTCAGGAGAGGTCTGCCATGCCTTGCGGTCACCTCCAGGGCAGGCGGGAATCGAACTCATGAGGAAGCGGCTTTAGATTCTCTGTGCTGTGCTCCAACCCGCTGAGCCACCAGGGAGGGCCTAAAGAGCTACTTTTTTGATAAAACACTGTTTACTCCCCTTTCTTTCTCTCCCACAAGTGACCACTTTCAACAGTTCAGCTGATGTTTTTGCTATCAAAGGAAACAAACTCACCTTAAAACATATCTATTTGACATAAAAATTATTTTGAGTTGGAGGCAATTAAGAAGTGACAAATGCAGGAAACATTCTTTCTATCTCTTTAGAAATCTTTTTTTCCCTCTGCCCTTTCTGCCCGCCCAAAGGCAGGATATGAATTGTCCTTTTCTGGAGGAAGAGTCCCACCAGCCGTGCCAGAGGAATCTGCAAAAAACCTTACTTCGTTAGTTCTCTCCATGTATTTCTATACCTTCCCAGTTTGCCATGTTGGAAGTCTGAAGTCATTTTCCTTTGCCCTGTCATTTCTTTTTCTTTTTTTTAATGTTTATTTATTTATGCATACAAAAGATGTGGCTGGTGAGAGGATTCACCAGAGATAGAGCGGGGACCAGAGCAGGCAGATGTAGTGAAACACACTGCTGAGGGGAGCAGCGGACAGGTCAGGAGAGGTCTGCTGTGCCATATGGGTCACTTCCCTGGCCAGGAATCGAACTTGTGCTGCAGTGGCTGCGGACAGCTTCATAGTGCTGTGCTTTAACATGTTGCACCACCAGGGAGGGCCTGTCTTGTCATTTCTCTACACATTTATTGTGGGTTTGTTGTTATATCAGTCAGAGTTCTACCTGCTCCTTTGAGTTTCTTTTCTTTGAGGTTTCTGTGGGGTGTGCTATATGGTATAAAACCTTTTTTCTCATATTAACCTGCTTTTTTGTTAGAGTTCCTGCTGGAAACAAAATGGTAAAGTTCTACACCACATCCCCACCCCCACCCCAGCCCCAAGCGGTATCTACTCCCATCCCTGGCACTGCTTGAATTTTGACAAAGACCATGCATCACTTTGTTATTCTTAGGTGCTTTTAATTATACAGCTAGCTGGATTGCCAGGTCTGGCACTGGTCTAGGGTGATGGGCATGAAGACACCCCCGTGGTTACTGGGCACAGGCCACTAGCTCCTCCAGGGCTTGCTCACGGCGGTTGCCATGGACTAGCAGCGCCTCCTTGATCTGGTCCTGCTGGAAGCCCATGTCACGGAACTGCTCCCACAGGTACAGGAACTGCCCTGCCTGAGAAGGGACAGACAGAACACTAGGTGTTGGTGAGGCCTGGCCTCACTATGGGGAGCCCTCTCCCGGTGTCCACTGACCCTGCTCCCAGAAAGCTATAACGCAGACCAGGTGAGCATGACTTCGGGTGTCACCTCAGGTTTCCCTGGGACTCTGGTCTGTCATGGACTCCAGCTTCCCTTCCTGGGCCCCTGCATGGATGCTGGCTCAGTTCTGGCTTTACTCCTACCCCTCTGGCTTACTCCAGACTTTCTGTGCTTGGGCGTGAGGCAAGAAGGCTGCGTATTGTATACTGGTGTCCAAAGCTGGGTTCTCTGCCCAGACCCCAGACTCTGCTGAGGTTTCACCGGGGGCAGCTTCCACCTTCCTTCTTCCTCTGACCCCAAAGTTTGAAACTTCCTCTTCTTCCTCCTTCTCCTTGTCCCCCTCCCTTGCTGCCTCCTACTCCTCTCCCTTGTTAGCATCTCTCTCTTGCCTCTTTCCCGACCTCAGCCTCTGTGAATTGCTGTTCCATTGGGACGGGCCCACTGCCAGTTGAGAGTGGGTATATTCAGTGGGCAGTCTGAATGTACTGGGCCCAGAGCTGCATGCATTCTGGGTTTCCAGGTGGGTGGCACACCTCCTGGGAAGAATGCAAGCATTTCTGTGCTGCCCATGGCTCCTATCTGGTGTCTAGCAAAGAGTGGGCACTCAATGACATTTGTTGGGGTGATTCAGTCAATAATACAAACCCCGCTTCCTGTTTCCCTCCTCCCTCTTCCCCTTTCCTCTCCTATGCTCTCACCTTGCCTTCAGGGCTTCCTCAGCCTGGACTGTCTCCTCCCCAGAGCTGAACAAGTAGGCTATTTCCTGATACCCCCAGGCTACCCCATGCCCTGTGTGCCCCTGCATACCATATGTGCACCCCTGTCTCTCCCCTCCACTGGGACCCAGATGGGAGACACTACTCACCTGGTGTTCAGAGAACTGGAACATCTCCATGGCCTCCTCCACCAGGCCCTCTTCGTAGCCCTGCTGCAGCAGCCGGTCACAGGCGTTAAGGTAGTTGAGAAACTGGGCCAGAAAGCAAAGAAGGAAGAAGGATGAGAGGACGGACAGGGGGAGCAGAGAGGGGTCAGGAGGCACTGGAAGGACCTCACTAAGGCCCAAGTTCTGGGCCAGACTGACTAGACAACCCATCATCCTGTTGCCCCAGAGAGCCCACTACCCGATAGAAGAGGGACAGAGGCTAGTCTCAGGAACTGGGGACAGGTAGATAGTGGGACCTCACCAACTGTTCCAAGCCCCAGGCTGGAATCCAGGAAGAAGGCTGTCAGGTTTCCCAGAATCCAAGTGGGAGTGGGACAGACCTCAAACACGGGTACCTCACCACTCCTCTCCAAGCCTGCTCACCTTCCCTAGGGAACCCCCATCCATACACAGACACTTACATCTCTGCCAGCCAGGATTCCTACTGTACAACAGGCCCACACCAGCAATGGAAAGGGGGGAGGGAAGAGGAGGGCCCCCACATGCTGAAAATCTGTTTAAGCCTTTCCCTGTTCAATTCATCAGAGGTTGCTTTTGCCCTCAGGAAAAGGTGTTGCCTCCTCCAGGGTTCAAAGGGCTGTTCTTGCCCTTGTCCATGGCTTCCGCTTCTCCCTCAGCACCCCTACTTCCTCCCCAGATCTGGCTTCTCCTGCCAAGGCCAGCTTCACCCCCTATCCTGGGAAGCCCTTCTTCCTCTTTCTACCAAGTGCCATCCCCCATGTCCCCACAGTGCCCTGGGCTCCCGCATCAAAGCACTCAAGAGCTTTGTAATTGCTTTACTGTATTTCTTATCTTTCTTATCCACTGACTTTTTGCTCCATGAGGGAAGTGTTGTATCAGCCTTGTTCATCACCGTGTCCCCAACACCCAGCATAGCAGGCAGAAGGAGCTGAATAAGTGGATGCTGTGTTTATAAAATGAATTAAAAATTACCTTCAAGGAGCTCAAAGCTTAGTGGGGGAGATAAACCAGATACAGGAAAACATGAGGGCCAACGGATCAAGCAGGATTTATAGGGAGCTGGTGCCAAATGAAGGTTCCAGGCCATAAGAATCATGGATATGAGTGGAGGGGAAACAGACTGGGTTTCTGCAGAGTTGGGCAGGAAGCAAAGATCATAAGGGCTAATGGTTTTCAAACCGGTTTAGTTTCTGAATGTTAAAGAAGAATTCAACAATAGCAGGGTAAGGTCAGGGTTGCTCTGGGAGATCTGGGGGTGAAGAGGAAGGGAGTCTGGAGTCCAGGACTCCTGCCCCAAGACACCTAGGCCTACACAGAGCACACAGTTGAGGGAACAGTTTCAGGCAGGGCAGGTGGCTTGTCCAGGTTCAGAACCTGCCCTGCCTTCAGGACCATCGCTGGAGGAGGGGCTTTGAGAGGAGACAGGAAATCCAAAGGTGAAAACAGGAAGTGGGGCAAGGGCAGATGAGCATGGGAGAAGTTCCCTTTTGGTTTGCCCACAGCCAAGGTTCTCAGTCTGAGTTCTTACTGCCACTGCCCTACTGCTCTCACCAGTAGGCCATAGTATCACCACCTGTAAACCTTGACGTTACTTCCAGAGACTCACGTAACTGGTCTGGGGGTAGCCTGGGCAATGGGATGGCACAGCTCTCCAGGTGTTCTAATGTGAAACCAGGTTAAGACTCTCTGACTCAATTCATACCAGCAGCCTGATGCGGACTGCATTTAGAACCACCAGTAGATCTTTTAAAATAGTAAGACCTACTCCAGATCCACCGACTGGGACCCTCCTAGGTAGCTTCTGGGGGTCTGCACTTGTAAAAATTCTACAGATTGTCACATACCAGGTCTGCCCAGGCTAAGGGTAGGTAAGAATATCACCTTCAGACTGCTGATCAGCTCCCAGAGGTCACTGGTTAAAAGCATATTTCCCTGCCATTCTGTCCAAGGGGCAAATAAGGTTCAAAGAGGAGCCTGGGCCTGGCCTGTAGACATAACACTTCTTCTAAGTGCCCTGTCTTCATTACCTAAAGCTCTCTTTCCTGTATCATCTGTCTTATATTTCTGGCCCAAAAGGGTTTACTATAGTTATATTTTTCTTTTTCTTTTTTTTTTTTTTATAGTTATATTTTTCAATGAACTCCAAGAGCTTGCTCGGTTGATAGTGGAACTACACAGAACAGTAGATAATAACTTGGTGGTGAGGAGAAATGAAGGTAACCCGTGACCTTTCTGGCCCACCCTCAGGGCCTGGCCCCAGATTGCCCAGTGGAAGGCCACCCAGACATCAGGAAGACCAGGCAGGTGGTCAGACCTAATGCAGAGGGATTCTTCCAGGCCACCCACAAGGAGGCCAGAGTCTGGTGCTGGCTCCAAATAATCTTCAGATTCCCATAGTGGTAGTCTGAGACCTCAGCCTTGTCACAAGGCCAAGAAGACTGGGGAGGCATTTCAGAGCCCCCACAGTGGGTCTGACCCTCCCGGTCAGCTTCTTGGCCAAGGTCTTGGCTTTTCAGCTGAAACTGAAGATGAAGTCAATATTAGATTGACTCCAAAATTTCAGATCAGTCTGAGGTGCTGCCATGGAAGAGAATGTTCTTAGACAGAAAATGAGAGAGAAGCACTGTGATACTGAGTCAGACTGCCTGGTGCTGCTGTTGACTGGTTATATGAACCTCCCTGGCCTCAGTTTCCTCATCTGCAGCACATGTACAGAATTAAGAAGCACTCATTGAATACTCTCAGATTGAGGGATTGGCACAAAGAAGGCATTCAATAAATGCTAACACATCAAGTTAGCCACATGGGGATCCCAGATTGGAAGTTTTCCCTCAGGACAAGACACAACTGATGAACAGAAGCCAGAGGGAGTGGGGGTGGGGGGAGGCATATTTCCCAGCGGCAGCACCTCGTCTCCTGTTTGAGCATCACTTTCTGGCCCAATCTCAGGGACCCAACATTGACTATCATCAGTGATTATGGAGGTGTCCAAGCCCTCTGACACAAAGTCCCCCATTTAGAAAAAAACGTGAAGGGCACTCCCTGGTGGCACATGGGTTAAATCACAGCACTGAGATGCTATCCACAGCCACTGCAGCACAGTTCGATCACCTGCCAGAGAAGCCACCCACATGGTGTGGCAGACCTGTCCTTGTCCCGCCCATTGCTCGCCTCAGCGGTGTATTGCACTCGATCTGTCCGTTCTGCCCCCACTTTGTCTCTAGTGAATCCTTTCAAACACCCCCAATCTGGCCTGTACCCCAGGTTTTGTATGCATAAATAAATAACTCCTTTAAAAAAAAAAAAGAAATTTGAAGGAAGATGCTACGTTCAGATGGGGAAGGGTGGTTCAAGCAATTCCATTCAACATCAGCTCCTGCCCTGCTCTCAGTCCTTCCATGCCCCCTTTGCTAATGGGTCGTTGGTAAAATTCTCAGTCCAGCCTTCAAGACACCTTCCACCTGCCCTGTCTCATCTCCTAACAGCCTGCATCATGCACCCTCTACATGACAAGAGTGTTCAGATTAGGACCTCCCAAACCTTCCTTCCCTGTCTCCACTTGTTTGTTCACTCTGTCCTTCTGCCTGGAATATCATCCTTTCTCCTTCCTTCAAATTCAGATCTTATCCATCCTCGAAGTTCAGCTCAAGCCTGCCTCCTCTGTGAGACCTTTTGTGGACATTGGAATCTCTTTGTGGTAAAGTAAGGAATGGCTATTTAAATTCTTTACAGCCTCTCCCATCGAGTAGTGGGGGTTATTTTTCCACCCTTTTAATCTGGAATGGTCTTAATCTGGTTTTAATCGGGCCAGTAGTGTTGGCCAATTGAATGAGACAGAGGCAATTATGTAACTTCAGGCTAAATCCCTAAAGGTCCTGTAGTTTTCACTCCTGCACTCTTGGATCTTACTGGAGACAGGCAACTCAGTTGACAAGTAGTGTCACCAACCACTGGACTGTGAGCAAGGCCATCTAGACATTCAACATCATCCAAACTATAGCCACAAAAGATACCAGGTAAATCAGCAAAAAAACCAACCAGCTGACTCCACCCCAAACTGCCAACCCAGAGAATATTGAGCAAGAAAATTGTTGTTGCATTAAGCCACTATGTTTGAGTGTGGTTTGTTATACAGGAATAGAGAACTAAAGTGCCCCCTAACCCTTGTATCCCCTCCTCCCAGGCATCTTCTCACTAGCACCTCTCCTTTTCTACTTGGGGGCATTCTCTCTCTTGCAGGTGCTCTCATATTCTTGGCTTTGACTGGGGATCAAGACCTGCTAGCAAATTTTAGAATAGCCTGGGCTGCTACCTTTTGAGTATCATTCTGAATGTCTTAACACCTTTCCAGCAGAGTGAAGTCTTTAAAAATAAAAGCTAGGTGTAGTAGACTTTGTAATGAGCTTTCCAGATACCCCTTCATTGACTGCCTCATGGCTCTAGAGGCTGGGAGAGCTGGTAGGTGCCCTTCAGTTATCTGCCCCTTCAGAATTGCCTCAGCTGTGGAGAAACACCTCTCTCAAGTCATCCCCTTCCCACATCCAGTGACTGATAGAGGCAGGGGTACAAAGGCCCAGCCATCTCAACACCACTGAGAACAATTCTGAAGGAACATGTATATTCTGGCACTGTGGCATTGGCTATTGCTGTCATTGATCCTACAAAGCTCAGCTTCTCTTTTGATCCACACTTGCTTCCAGAACCTTCCATGTGAGTTGATCCCAAGGTCTCCTCAGTAAACATCCTGCATGCCAAACTCCAAGTCCTTAACCAATAATATTGGTTTTATGCATCTTGGAGCAGTAGGGAGCATAATTCCTAGCTGCACCTAAACAATTAGGATGTGACTAATACTGTTGACTAGATGGCTGGATGAGTAGAATGAAAGAGAAAGCGATGGTGACAGAAAATTGGGCATGGCTAAACTGTTCATTGAGGGAAGTGGTTAAATGGCAACACCCAATTAGGTAACCAATTTAGCCACATGTGACTACTGTAAATTAATTATAACTAAATAAAATCTAAAATTCAATTGCTTAGTCATACTAGCCATATTTCAAATAATCACATATGACCAGTATTGAACAACACAGGTATAAAATACCTCTCTGACTACAGAAATTTCTATCAGACAGCTCTGAATGTTAAGCACCCAAAGCTCCAGGTCCCTGTACTTGCAGCAGAAATGGGAACAGGAATAGAAAAGTGTGATTCCCCAAGTGGGCATGGGAAGTTCTCATAAACTCCTATGGAGAAGCTAGCATTAGGGTCTAAAACTTACTCAGAGCCCTCAATAATTCAGGCTAAGGATCTGCTTCTAAAAAGAAGGAAACGGGCCCTCCCTGGTGGCGCAGTGGGTTAAAGCACTGCACTGAGAAGCTAAAGCCACTTATGCATGAGTTCGATTCCCGCCTGTCCCAGAGGTGACCACATGACGTGGCAGACCTCTCCTGACCCGCCCACTGCTCCCCTCAGCGGTGTACTTCGTCGATCTGCCTGTTCTGCTCCCCACTCTGTCTCTGGTGAAGCCTCTCACCGCCCCTGAGCCTCTGGCCTGCACCCCAGTTCTGTATGCACAAATAAATAAATCTTGAAAAAAAAAAAAAAGAAGGAAACACAACTTCTTCAACTTAAAGATAAAATCCAAGCCTCCCTAGTGGCATAGGGGTTAAGTCTTAGCGCTATCATGCAGCCATAGCATAGTCTGAGTCAGATGCCCAGCTAGGGCGCTGACGCACATGGTGCAGCAGACCTCTCCTGTGTTGCCCGCTGCTCCCCTCAGCATGGTATTTCAGTAGGTCCACCTGTTCTGCTTCCCTACTCTGTCTCTGGCAAATCACTCACCCCCAGCACCTCTGGCCTACACCCCAGTTCTTCTATGCATACATAAATTAATTCGATTTTAAATAACCAACCATGTGGTCACTCAACTGTCTCTACTTCTAGACCCCCTGACTCCCAGCCCCCACTCACTGGTTCCACCTCCACAGACTCTCAGGTTGTGCCCCACTCACCTGGCTCAGGCTCTTCCACCCTGTCTTCTGCAGAGCCACAATGGCCCTGTGCATGGGATACCCCAAGGCAACCACTGGTCTGATGAGGTCTTGCTCCTCCTGGCTCAGGGCCGACAGCAGGTCAGCAGAATCAGAGTATGATGGCTGGGCAGGCTGCGGAGGAGATGGCAGGCAGGTGCCCTGGCTAACGGACTGAAATGCAGACTGATATGTAAGTCTCCCTGAGCGACCATTTGTATAACACTACACCTTCTGCACAGAGTGTAGGGGTTAACGTTGGGGGAGCTCGGAGCCCAGCAGTCCTGGGTTCAAAACAACTCTGTTTACCCAGTTTGCTCATATGTAACACAGAGGCAATCACCCTAGAGTCCCACAGGGTTGTTATGAGGTTTATATAAGACAATATGAGAAAATTGCCCTTGTCCTATGGTTTTCATATTGTCCCTTCTAACTAGTGTCTGGGAGGAATTAACTATGCAGTGAATATTCCTTGATTGGACCTAGATTTTACAGAAGCCTTGCTTTGAGTCATGGTCATTAACTCAATAACTATTCATTGAGCACCCCCTAGGGGCCAAGTTTGCCCTGGGTGCTCTGGAAACAGAAATGAATGTGATTCTATCCCTGTCCCAGGAGAACTCACATTCCATTGGAAGAGACAGAGAGACACTTGTTAATCACAATTATTATGATAGGTACCTTAAAAGAGGCAAAACAGGCACAGTGGAAAACATGGGATGGGTACCCTGGGTAAGGGATGTTCTAGGCTAGAGGCATAAGGAAGGACCCACTGATTGGTACAGAGCCAGAGAAAAGCAGGTGAAGATAGGGTGGGGAAGTGTGGGAAGGAAGAAACAAGACTGCGGATCTGGCTGGGGTCCCTGAGCTGCAGAGCAGACTGGCTCCTTACCGGGCTGGTGGGCTTGTGGCTCCGCGGTGGGGGCACCGTGCCAGCAGTGGAGGGCCGTGGGGGTGGTGCCGGGATGCCAGGGTGCAGGGGCGGGGGGCACAGGGGTGGCACAGGGCTGGGGCAGAGGCTCAGTGCCCGTTGGCGCAAGCGGTGCAGGAGGGCTCGGGGGCCGGCAGCCAGCCTTTCCCCGGAGAACTGCCACCACGCCCCCGCCGGCTCCGACCTCACATCCTGCATTAAGTGCAAAGAGCACTGATCATGATCCAAGTTGGGATTTGGCAGGGACCCCATCTCTGGGGTGCAGGGATCCTGCTCTTCTTCCCTGCCAGAGGAGGCTTCTTTCTTGGCCTCATCCTCTTTCTCCGGCTGCTCCTGGGGTCTGGCTTTAAGGGCTTCAGCTGCAGCAGGCACCGGCCCCAGCTCATGTTCTGGGCTGATGAGCAGGAGCCAGGCTGGAGGGGCTGACGCTGTACCAGAGCCATGGCACTGGCACAGGCACGGCCCCGGGACTGCTGCCTCCACCCAGAAGAGGGTCCTCTTCTCCAGGCTGAAGTCATGCTGTGGAGAAAAGGGGACTGAGACAGGCCAGTCTACCTGGACCCTGGGGGCTCAGCCCTACCCCACTGGCCTAGGTGACTCCCTAGGTCTGGACAGCTTCTGATTCTAAGTTCTGGGCATCCATCCCCCTCCCACCCACGTCCCCATTTTTAGTTAGCACTGGGGTTCAAGGACAGCAATAACAATTGAATGGCAAACTGTATGAAGGACAAAGTGAGATTATAGGATAAAGTGTAGTAAAATCTAATGTCTAAACTCCTTGGCCAGCAGTATGCAATTAACAATCACTGCTTGAAACAGTTCTCAAAAAAATTGTTCTTAGCAAAGAGGATTTCTCCTGAGCCCAATATCATCTGTCACTGAGCACTCAGCCTTAGAGGCTTCCCAGGTAAACTTCCCTCAGGAATAATAATAGCCTCATCCCCTTTGCTGCCATCCAAGATTACTTTGGAGCTGAGGAAATATAAAAATCACTAATTCTACCTAGTAGGTTCTAGTTTTATCCCAGATTATGGAAATGAGATGCAGAAATTAATTTGACTGAGGTCAGCTTGCTGGTGACTGAGCTAGGTTTCTTTCCATCTGGCTTAAGAGTTCTTTCTCCACTATCCATCTGGCTTAAGAGTTAATAAATGAAACAAGAATAAAAGTGCCTGTTGCCTGCCTTTAAGAGCTAGAAACAGAAAACTCTATTAAAAATACTTAAAATTGGGGGCCCTCACTGGTGGCGCAGTGGGTTAAAGCACAGCACTGAGAATCTAAAGCCGCTTCCGCATGAGTTCAATTCCCGCCTG